CTAAAAAATAGGTGTCCGATATGTGGCCGATAAGTCCCCGATAAGTGTCCGATATTAGGGAATATGACGACACTTATTGGGTACCCGATATGTGTCAAAAGATGTATATCGGGTACCTATCGGGCACCATGATTGGTACATGATAAGTGCATGATATACCAGATTTTGACCAGTGCCCGGGGGTTCATAAATTTCATCCTGAACCGGGGATCCAGAATAAGGACGCTCAACGTGAAAAAACAGATTTTTAGTGATTATATATTACGTGATTTATCACATGAATTAATTAATTAAATGCTTGTCGGGAAGTTAAAAAAAAATTTTCACACAAATCTTGACTTCGCCAAAAAACTTTTTTTTGTTACACACATATTTATTAGGAAGACTCAGAAGTGTCTTTGTACAAATCAAGAGAAAATGTAATCTTTCACCATTTGTAATCGTATCTATTTCGTGTGTTTTGATTTTTTTTTTTTCAGGAGGTATTTGATTATTTATTTAAAGGATTTTAAGGGATTTTAAGGGATGATTTATGTTTGTAATTTATTTGTTTCTTATTTCCCAATTAATTCCTTTAAATTATGTCCAGACTATACTTGCACGCAAAATTATTTTGGGGCCCCGAAATTGCAATTTCAGGGAAAAAAGTCAAAATAGTTTTTCATAGAAGACGAAATTATTTTACTTAAAACCTGAAATTTTTTGACCACCCAGATTTATTCTTTGATTAAAGATATGTATAACTAGGTACTTTTTTTACTTCTATATATAGAATAGATTTTGCATAAATCTCAAAAAGTCGAAATACCTCAAAAATCCAAAATCAATTTTGGGAACATGTATAGTCCAAACGTAACAAATGCACCAGATACTGCTTGGCAGCTATCAATAAGCGGTGGAAGAACAAGTCACAACTTGATACAAATATATCAAACGAATCTGACTTTGAGACTGTTTGGATAGAAGACGAAGACGAACCTGTGTTTGATGTGGATGATAATCAATTCATAGAAGTTTTAAGAGAATTAAAACTGACCAGTTTTGAAGAACTTATTAAGAATGTAAGAAAACTAAACATATGGGAAACAAAAGGACGAAAATGATATTATACCGGTTGAATTAAATCAACACTACGTAATAAGAGAGCGTCCTGAAGAAAGACAGCCTCAGGTTCCAGTAAACTCACCACTTGGTTTCCAAACGAAGCTAATGAGCTTTCATTTGATGAAACAGTTGATTCTATTGATGAAGACAATAATAAATTTTCTTTAGCATCTCTTGACACCTTAATAAAAAAAAACCTGAAAATGTACGACTTCATACAGTAAGTCAATTCCTCCATCTCGTTCAAGATCAAGGATTTTCTAAGCTTTTAGCTAGTAGGCTTCTGGCTTATAGTGTTAATTGAGGTCTATGGCATGCAAGGGTTATTTGTTCATGGGCAAATCAATGGTTAAATAAAGGTGAAATTCGTGCATCACGTCATGGCCGTTACTTAAAAATTAATTCATTTCTACAAGATAAAGACTTTAAGTTATGTATTCTCCAATATTTGCGTACAAATAAGTTTACTCTAACTTTTCATTCATTTATAAAGTTTGTTAAGGAGAAGACAATTCCTGCTTCAGGAATTGAGACAAAAAAAATGATTTCTTAGATAACAGCACGAAAGTGGTTACACCATTTTAGTTGGAATTACAAAGACCATTCGAAAAATATTTACTTCGATGGTCATGAGCGTAATAATGTGGTAGTTTATCGAAATTAATTTCTTAAACAAATTGCCAATTTGCGAATTGCAGTATATGAAGGAGAAAATATGGAACAAGTTATTTCTCCAATACTCCCACCTAACATTCATGAGCTTGTCCCAATTACTCACGATGAATCAATTTTTTATGCCAATGATGGTGTTGTCAAGATATGGAATCCCACAGAAGAAAATCAACTCCGGCATAAATCACAAGGGCTCAATATCCATGTGAGTGATTTTATTTACGAATTAATTGGGTGACTTCATCTTTCAGACGAAGAACGAGCTGCAAATAATTTGCTTCTCAATGATCAATAACTTTTGTATACAGAAGCCTGCATTATTATGTATCCAGGTTCTAATTGTGACGGTTGGTAGACGAATCAAGACCTTTTGAAACAAGTAGGTGAAAGAGTTATTCCTATTTTTAAAAAAATGCATCCTGAAAAAGTTGCACTTTTTATGTTTAACAATAGTAGCAACCACAATGCGTATGCCGACGATGCTTTACTTGTTTCAAGGATAAATCTTAAAGATAAAGGAAAACAACCGCTTCTTTGTAATAGCAGAATGCTTGATGGTTCTCCTCATGTTATGATGTTTGTAGATGTTGATGGCATAACAAAACCGAAAGGTATCTGACGAATTCTCAAAGAGCATGGCTTGTAGGTGACAGGATTGATAAAGCAATGTAATCCGTGCAAGTCACATGTCATTGATCCAACAAATTCACAATGTTGTACACCCCGTATCCTTAGCCAACAATTCGATTTTGCATCTCAAAAAAATTACTTGCAAGAAATTATTGAAGCCACCGGACATATGTGCATTTTTTACCTGAAATTTCATTGTGAGCTCAATTTTATTGAGTCATTTTGGGAGGAACGCAAAGTGGTATTTATACCTGCCACCCAAATTCAAAATCCAAATGCTGAAATCCCAAATGCCAAAATCCCAAATCCCAAATCCCAAATTATGATTAGTATTTTTTGCCGAAATCCCAAATCCCAAATCCCAAATACTAGTAATTTGGGATTTTGGCATCCCAAATCCCAAATGATTTGGAATTTGGGCAACACGTATAGTGGTATTCACGATTATATTGTGATTATACATTTAGAGGCCTTAAAGAAATCGTTCCACGTGCATTAGATTCTGTTTCATTAACGTGAATTCGTCAATTTGCACGTCGATCTAACTGATACATGAGTGCATATGAACAAGGCCTTTTAGGAAAGGCTGCTGTTTTTACAGTGAGAAAATATCGGTCACACCGTCATGTTCCAGAGAACATTTTGGAAAAATTCGGTCATATAAAGTAATACAATAATACAAGCACAAGTATAATTTAGATGAGAGTGATTTAGGATATTTAGGGAATAGATTCTATTAATTTAAAATGTTTCACTTTTTAAATAAAAAAATATTTTAGATGTCATTTGACATTTTATTTGCCTTTATTAATTTATCTTCATTTTACATAACGACAATTTTATTAAATCATGTATCATGTGAAATATAACCAATCATAGTACTCAGAATGTAATCACGTGTATCATATGTAAAAATCTAGCCAATCGGTGATGATTTTTTAGCACTGAAATTTATGTAAATATATATAAAACTTGATTTTTTTAAACTCTAACTACTCAATAAATTATTAATAAATATATCAAAAAAAATACATTAAATTGTAGAGCTTATCTAGAGTTATCAAATAATATATTTTTTTTAAAAATTCTATATTTGGATATAAAACCTTAGCAGTTCAAAAAAAGTTTAAAATATTTGATGTCTTTAAACTTTTTACACCATAGTAGACTTTTTCTTCAATAGATTTCTGCTATTTTTAAAAGTTTTACAAAAAAAATATTGAAACATGATGATGGTTCTTTTTTTCAACAGCTAAATATGAAAATGCTTTAATATTCCATTGTCAATGTTTTGCTAAAAATTCCCACTTATGAAATACTAATACATGTATATAAGGAGTTATTTGATTTGATAAATATAGACCTTTTGTAAAATTTTTAGGATCACTTGGATTTTCACATAATGGAGTAAGAAATAAATTTAACTATTCTTTGATTTATTTTTTAAATTCTACTGAATCGGTTCTTTTGTACAATATAATGAAAAAAATCCATCTTATAATTTTCTAATTAAAGATGCATGTGAAGGTTTAAATAATCATCCTAAATTAAAATACTCTAATACTTTTTTTTTGTCATCACCTACAAAAAAAATATATTTTCAATTATGAAAATCCTTGTTTTCCCAAAATTGAAAAAATATTTTTAAACACTTTATTTCATCTAAAATTATTTTTCTAATTATGTTATTAAATAAATTAAGTTCTTTGATTTTGGATAATATTAATTCCCATAACCTATCTGTGATTCGTAAAAAAATATGTAATTCATCAAATACTATATTATCTATTGGGATCATATAAAAAAGTGGTGAAGAAATATGTCCATTAATATTATTATAATTTTTAAAAATTTTATCCATATTTTTTTCTATACACCAATCTTTGCTTAAATCTCCAATTTGATTTTTCGAACACAAGCACCATGAACAAAAATATTTTGAAATAAGACCATTTAATCCCAAACAAATAGCTAAAAATTTCCAATCAGAACTAAAGTATAATTCAAATTTCCATAAAATCTCAGTTATTTCTAATCCATTTTTTTTTAATAAATATAATTCTTCAATAAATAGATTTAATATAAATTTAAGTGTGTCATATTTTTCTGTACCTGGATATAAAGCAATTGTGTAATGATAATCTGAATTATGACGATAACTTTCATGTTTAAAATCATAAATGTAATTATTACATGCTTGATTTTTCATCTAATATTTTTTCCATTACCTGAAATTCGCAAATGTATAATTGGATTTGATAAATCTAAAATTGACTCCCTTTGCAAATGTGATATGATATAATATAAAATATCTTTTACACTTCGACAAACACCTAATCCCATTGTATCTAAAACTTCTTGTACTATTTCAGGATCTGTAATATTTGATTCTTCAAATTCTATATTTTCTAAAATATCTTTTTCTTTCATATCCACCAATGAAAATTTGATTTTTTGATTTATATAATTGGTAATCTCAATTAGTTTATTAGAAATTACATATTCACGTGTCAAATGATAATCTGCTATTGTCAAATCTTTATATAAATCTCTTGATATTTTTCCATGATCAACTATTTTTACTATTGATTAAATATAATTATTTTCTTCTAATTGATTTTTAGATCCATAATTTACTTGATATTCTATTTGATTAATGGAAAATTCAATTGATTTTAATGTTATCTTATCTGATGAGTGATATATTTTATTTATATTATTTTTAAAATTTGATTATATATTTGTTGCAATTTTCTTAGCACGCTTTTCAAGTATTGATGAAGTGTAGTTAAGAGCAGGCTTAATTAAATTTCCTCTTTTTTTTAATTCTCTTTCTTTTTGTACACTACTTAATTACAACTCAAACAAAAGTGAACTGGAAATAGTAGCTTTTGAACTAGGATTTAGAGTTTAGAAAAATAATTTAATTAATGTATATTATATAAAATAATAAATAATAATTATAACAAATAAATATTTACTTGCTCATAAAGTAATGCTGCATTTGATGTGAATTTATTTGAAGAAAAGATATTTTGAAAATTTGATTCATATTTAATTTGAAATTGAAAAGTATAGGACTCATTATTATAATCTATTTCACAAAGAACTTTTTTTTTTAGTTTTACATCTTCACATTGTCTCGATGATATAATTATATAGAATTTTATAAAGTTTTACTGAATATTTGTTGGTTTTCCTTGGTGTTAAAAGTTCAAGTTGATTTGGATAAACTCTTTCTTTTATAATAATATAATTAAAACTATGTCAAGTAACATTATTTATACATATTTTATACAAAATTTTATTGCTTAAGGGATAAGTTAACTCTTCTTTGATACAAAGTTTATTGATAACATTTTTTTGGTCACTATTGTATTTAATATCTGAAGCCATGAAGATAAAAAGATAAAAGTATTTTTGAAAATTTTTTTTTTGAAACTAAAATAATTATATGTTTATTTAAAAACATAATCACATTTCGTGTTTTGTATACATTTAATTATTTCAGATTATTAACAGTTATTTTGTTTTAAGTTTTTATATTTTAATAGTTTAATTAGTCAATAATTTAGCCAATTACAATTTGACAGATTGCAGATTATGAGTTTAAATTAATAGTACCCTAAAATTAGGGTACAAATTTCCATTCTGAAAATTAGTGAATATGATATGTACAATAACACATCAACACTTTTAGCACAATAATTAATGACCAATCAATCATGGGAGCTATAACAAGAATTAGACTACAAGTAGCACAAAACCAATTGTAGATTTCAAATTTAATTCTAGATGGAAATATCTTAAAAGAACAAATAGTATTATACAAAAATCTAATACTAAATATATTAATGTTAGTAAAACAATATGAAATTAAATAGTCCATATCCACTATCTTCTCTGGTATTTCTTATATAATTATTAAATAAATATTAAAATACTTGATATAATTTATTATTATTATATTATTATGATAATATATCTTTTTATTGTTATTTTTTTTTTGAATTTTATTAAATACTATTAAGGATAAAACTAATTCTCATTTTTTTATTATTACCAATTATGTTTTGATATTTATTTAAAAAATGATTAAAATCTAGTTCATCCTCCAATATATTTGTGTACTCCTATTATTAAGTACTTTGTATTAAAGAATATAATTAAATATATTGATATTTCTATCGTCAAGAGATTTTTGAATATGTAAATGAATTTTTTCAATAATATTATTAAAGTCAACTGATAAAATTATCAATGTTTTAGCAGTATTGTTTTTTTGTTTATCTTTAATTATAATATATAATTTTAACTTTTCCATTTCATTTGAAGTTGTAACTATATCATCGGAACTATTATCTTGTAACAATATTTCTATTGAATTATTTTGTTTTCTTTGTCTTTATATTTTGTTATTTGGTATTTACTATTGTATGCAGAACAAAGTGTATAAGAAAAAGATGAATTAAAATCAGTTGTATATTGAAATTTTATATTAGTATCTTGAAGTAATTTACTAGCTTGTAAGGAAGGTACATTTGAAGAAAAAATACAAGAATAAAATTATTAACCCAGTAGTATATTTTTAACTTTAGAAGGACAAATATTTTTATCACATATACAATTTTCTTTATCTACTTCAAAATAATATAAGCACTTTGAACAAATATAGCAACTGCCTAATTGATAAATAATTGTGCTAATTTTTTTTTACAAGCTATTTAAAGGTTTCGTGTATAAAAAAGATAACAAATGAATCTATCTTTAAATTTAATGTACGAAACTATAATAATCTGAAACGTGATATAAAATTTTATTGACTGATATTATTTATTTCGTATTTGAATACCTTATTATTATATTATCTGATTTTTGCATAATTACACTAATTTGCAAATTGTAATAAAATAAAATTTTGAAAATAATTTCTTTTATTTATTTTAATTTTATTTCTCGAAAATAAATATAAAAGTAACTCCAAGTAAAATAAAAGTTTGAAAAGAGTTACTGATTGTTAAAGAATGTTACAAAAAATTACATTTAAAAATAACGAATGATGAAGATGAAACCTGGTGCGGGAAAATAATTAACGAAGTATGGGAGGACATCTGAAAAGTTTTTAATGAACAAGTAGCTTTCGTTATAACATTATGCAAAAGTTTTTTAAACCCCAATAATGAAGATATTAAAAATAATAGTAAATATTTATGTAAGAGATTGAAAAGAAATCTAGTAAATATTAAAAATATTTAGATTTTTTAATTTTTTAATTTTTTAAAATATTAAAAAAAAAATTTATATTGGTAGAAAAAAATGGAAAAAAGCAAAAAATTTAATTTGAGAGAGTTAAGACAAGCCAAAAAGTGACTCAACCATACATGTCTCCAAAATTTAAAATCCAAAACTTGATCCCAGTTAATTTAAAATGATCCTGAAATTGAATTCTGAAATTCAAAATTAACCCCGAAATTATTATAAAAGATAAAAATATTTACGGAAATTGAAATTATTATGGGGGACAAAATTTAGTGTAACTTCAGTTAAAATAGTTGTGAAATCTCAAAATTATAGATCTATAGATTTTTTTTTAAAAAATAAAGCTTAGAAATTGTGTAGGTGATCACGAAATGGTGTAGGTTTTTTCTTTCTTTATTATTATTTTTTTAATAAAATAATTCACTATCTCTTAATTTATTCTTTTATCTCTTCTTAACTTACCTTTTTACCTCTTCTTAACTTACCTTTCCTACTCTTGAGTTTGCGAAATGGTGTAAGTAGGTTTTTTATTTCTTTTTTTTTTATTATTTTTTTAATAAATATATTTACTTACCTTTTCTACCTCTTCTTAACTTACCTTTTCTCTGAAT